AGCGGAGCCCGGGATCAGCGGGACAATGGCAGGGTGGCAGCGGAGGGGGGGGGGCCCGCACCGATCGTTGCAAAATACAAGTGATCCGCCGGCTCTACAGCCGGCGGATCGCTTGTATGTTAACAGGCACCGCTGTCTGTTTTTAAATTGCGGTCATTTCCCGCTCGCGCGCGCCCAGCTTCCTGGTCCACTTTGGCACAACGGTTCCATCCTGGGAAGGTTACATCTGCAGAGTATTGCTGGGAAATCTCATTTGTAATCTTATGAGATTTCTGGGAGAAGCATTTTACTCCCCTGAGATTATGTACATGGTCACATGGCCTAGCCATATGTGCCAGAGTTCAAGGAAGTAAAGGGAGATTACATTAATCTGCCCTTACTTAAAATGGCCACTGTCAGAAGACTGGGAAAGAAAATAGAAATATGGTATGCACAAAATAAAAAATCTTCAATTATCTAGAAGTATGTGTTTGCAGATTGTCATTGCTAAACATTTTTAAAGGTGCCTTTGTTGTTATTTTAAAGATATTGGTAAAGGTCCTCTTTAATTCAACGATAAGAAATATACTTTAACTCAGAAGGCTTATCAGCAAACAAATATCTACATCCAGAAAAATAAACAAACTCAGTGCTCTTTTTTGCATCAATATTGTCCCAGTAACAGGAAATAAATTATGCCTACTTCAACCAGGAAAACCTCAGCAAAACATAGACCAAACACAGCTGCACCACAGAGCCCAGCCAGCAGAGAACCTGTTTTGATATGTATCAAACAAATCAAACAGGGGCAGCTTCCTCCAACCCTATCATCACTCTCCTCATATCTGTCTACCTTCTATTTCCTTATCAGCCCTCTTACCTATTAACCCTCCGAAAGAGCCCATAACCCGGAGAAGAAAAAAAAAAAGATATACTGTATACTTGCTGCCCAGAACATACACAACATACAGATACAGTACATACAGACAGAACATACACCATGTCTCATCTCTTTCTGTCTCTTTCTATCACTCAATCTCTCTCTCTCTCTCTCTTCCTCTCTTTCTCCCTCTATTATATACAGTATATACACACTTATAAACTGTAGAGTTACCCTTTTTTTATTTTAGAGGATTAAAAGATATGGAGTTAGATGCTTCTTCCATGGAGAAGAGATTTGCCTTCAAATTTCTGAAGAAAGTTCTGCATTACGTTGATTCGGCTCAGGAATTCATTGCACATTTAGGTAAAGTATCTTTTAAACTATTAAAGTGGTTGCCCGGGGAAAAAATGTAAATCAGGGTTTATAGGTTTCTGAGTGCCAGTGTTGACAGGTTTTAGTTTGCTTTAAGAAGGTTTTACATTTTCGTACAATTCTATAGGAATACAAATCCCACATGAAGCAGGTCAGATGCATATTAAAATGAGGTCAACTGCAGGTTAAATGCATCTGTCCATGAATTCTGAATGAGTCCAGACGTGTCTCAGACTGATGTCAACTTGATGCCATTGACACAAGCCCAAATCCCGTCGACACAGACCATAAGGGTTGTTATTGTAGATAATGTTTTTGCTGAAATTGTTTCCGCAATCACTGTCTGTTTTCTGTTGGTTGATCATTTCACAAGGGAATTTGGTCTTTGCAGGAGAAGTTTCCCTTAGCTTGTGGTGAAATTTCACTGTGCAAGGAAAATAAAAAAAATGTAAATACATTTGTATTTTTGCTTGCATATGATTGGAAGTCAGCAGAACTTCACCTCATTCACTAATCTAAGGGAAAATTTCCCCCGTAAGGTGCATATTCCCTTGCAAAGTGAGCAGCCTTTTTGCCCTTAGTAAATGAACCCCAATGGATCAGCCTTTTTTCTATATTTTCCTTGCTTCTTTCTCCACTACAGTGTGTCTTTCAGGGTTCACGGCAGGTGCAATAAGATCATCATGCTTTTTACCTTTTTATGTTTGGTGTTAATTTAGTAGAAAGAATGCAGCTGACAGGGAGCTTTGTGAGACATAAAATATATAAAATCTTCTGAAGGCTGAAAACAGGCAATTTGTTTGTGTTACTAAAATACACAGAACATGGCCACTTCTTTTGTGTGACTTAGACATTTCGTAGTGAGGTTGTAAGTGATATGAGTTTCTGTACAAGCTAAACTTATAGCAGTGGACAAAAAATATGATTTGGAGCTCTAGTCCAAAACTGCTAAAGAAACAACCTTTTATCAATCCATTTACATAAAAATTTGGCTGACTAAAATTCTTCCTTTGGACGATAATGCACATTATATCTCCACAGAGGCGGTTGTTGGCAGCGGTAAAAGTGAGAAGTCACCACACGAACAAGAAATCAAGTTTTTTGCCAAAGTGAGCTATATTATAGTCTTTATTACACTTTGTATATTACATTGTTTTCAGTTAATGAACATGTAGTACATTGTAACATTAAATATTTATTTTTCATTTAATTCTTACACGGCCCATTGGTAAAAATGACATCAAATAACTGATGTTTTAAACACCGGTCAAAATAATCTCCTGTTGTATTTTATATGCATATCAGAACAGTTATGTAGCCCCTCTGTTGTGCTGAGCAATATCCTGTGACAAACACTCCAGCTCATTCATTTTCTTATGCAACGTTGTTAAGCATTGTTATGAAAAAGTAGATAACATATTAGATCTCATTCTATGAACCTGTAAATGCGGAATGCACTGTAATAATATAACATTAAAAAGACTTATTTATGAGTGATATTAGTAATTTATTTACAATGTAGTAGGTTATCTTGAAATTTAAGCATTTGAAGCATAGTTGGAAACTCATTTTTTAACTGCATGCTCTTTTTAACTTAAATTAAAATGATTAAATTGTGTACACCTGCTTAAAATCACTACTAATATTTCTTTTGCAGGTTCTTTTGCCACTCGTTGACCAATACTTTAAGAACCACTGCTTGTATTTCCTCTCTTCTCCAATTAAAACCCTCAGCAGTAGTGGCTATGCATCCAACAAAGAGAAAGAAATGGTGGCAAGGTAAAAGCCTTTTTTTGACTTTCAGTAAAATTAAAGCTGGGAATTTGTGTGTTTCAATAGATTATCCATATATTATCTGTAGAAGAACCTAGAGAATCTCACAAAGTTATGAACAATTAATGGTAAATGTCACATCTCATAATCGTTTTTCATGTCCTCTTTATAAGTATGTAATAATTTTAGCAAACTGTAGTATGTTTAACTTCGGTTTATGTCTTGTATGTGTGCTGCTTCTCATTGCTAGCCAGTGTTAAACAGTAGGCAAACCCTATAGTTTATTTAATTACCCATTTCCCAAAGTCTTTTTTTATTTATGTATCAATTTCAAAGGTCCCTGATCAACTAACTTGCTGATTTTAAATGTCAATTATGCATTCAAATCAGACTGTTTGCATAACACAGTTTTCTTACTTCTCCTACATGTGATGCTTATCTGCATATAATTGGTCTCTAAAGGGGTGAAGATGAAAAATATACTATTATTATTATTATACTACAAGATTTATATAGCACCAACAGTTTGTGCAGCGCTTTAAAATATAAGGAAGACATTACAATTACAATACAATTCAAAACAAGATAGTAAGGAGGACCCTGCCCCTGAGGGCTTACAATCTAAAAGATCCAAGTCTATCAAAATCTGGTTGTTGCGTTTTTAGATTGGGGTCTTTTGTGTAGGTTGTCTTGAAAAACACTTCACCTAGGGTGCATAAAATCATAGTACATGGGGGGAGGGTGGCGCCTAGCAATGGACCAGAGTGGACACACTCCTTAGGAGCTCTGGGTGGACGACTAACAACTTCATTCAGCGGGCGACACCACAGAAAGCTTCTTTTAGCGACCGACTCCATCCTCCACACTGCACAGTGCTCCTAAGTTGGCATCGGAAGTCACCAACCTGCCTTCCCCCTCACTCACTCTACACCTGTACGAGCAAGATCAAGATGCTTCTCTGTAGTTGGCTTCTTCTATGTCAGATAATGACCAAGACCTCTCACACCCGAGGGAGGCTTTCAAAAGGTATTTTTCTCTGTTGCCTACTAAAAGGGACATTAAGGGAATGTTTAGTCACTTGGATAGACAACATGCCCAAAACATGGCAGACTTGCAGGTGAATCTGCAAAGTTTCCATCAGTGACTGGATTTGACAAAATCCTCCCTCTCAGCTAATACTGCAGCTATTGTTCAACTACAGGAGTTTATATTGTCACAACACCAGTATATTTATTCTGTTTGGACTCATGTTGACGATATATAGGACCATAACTGCCGTAATAATGTAAGCCTCCGAGATTTCCCCAAAGCCAGCAGACCTAGAGCACAAGATCCAGGCCATTTTAAATCTTTTTATTGATACTCCTGCACCTTTCCCATTAAGATGCAGCCCGTCTCGGCTGAAGAGCCGATAGGCGACTGCGAAGTCAGCCCAGTTCTCCAGGAAACCAAAACCTTCCTTCTGACACCAGTTTTGCCGCTTTTGGAAAAGAGTTCAATTCTGCCTTACCATCTTGACCCAATCCTTTCTTTGCTTTGCTTAGCACATTGTGGACCGATGCATTCCCTGTTCTACAGTTTGTTACTAGGAACCTTTCTGTTTCCATAAGTTTGATGAATGCTTCTGCTGCTTCTACTATATTTCTGAGCTGTATCTTGCCTTTGCCGCGTGGGTGGCTGCACCCTATGTCTGCCCCCCTTTTTGCATGTGGCATGTTAGCATTTTGATGTTGCTATGGCTCCTTACATTAGCCTAAGGAGGAATGCTGCCCTCAACAGTACTCTGAATATTCACGTATATACCTACTCCCTGTTACTCCCAGTCATTGACATTCCATTGGCCTGTAGGAAGAACTGCACTAATTATGGTGTACTCCCCCTCCTTACCGCAGAACTGTGTGCCCGTCCTGGACACTGTGTTTGTTGTGTTTTTTTTGTTGACTGTTTTTTACTCGTGCTTTCCTAACCAATTTCTATTTCAGGTGCTGCTGCAAAGTGCTTTTCCTGGTTTCCCTTGATAAATACTGTTTTTTTTAAAACTCCCAGCTCACCTGTCTCTTCAGGGGTCTTCAGCAAATGTCACTTTACTGTTATGTTTTACATTCCTCTGGTCTCTCTAGGGTTATAGTAAAGTATTTTCATGCGTTTAGGTCATGGACGTCCTGTTTCTTGTATTCTGCAGGGGTGTGCCTGCAGAGTTGTGGTATAGGGGGACTTTACTGGGGCTCTCCTTCTATTGGGTGGTGGAGCCTTGGTAGTGTCTCTCCTGCTGTTGGCTCTGTTGTGATGCACCACCTATTTTATCCACTTGACAATTTGGTATTCTGAAGGGCTGAATACCCTTTTTCCCTTTTATTTCCCTCTCCCCCTTGCTATGGTGCTCTGTCTTTACTCTGTGTTTGGTAAATGAGCTGTCCTAGAAATTTCACATAAGGAATCAGGCTTAAATTGTGAGTCGTGAGAATTCAGGTCAACGGGATTTTGTCCGAACCTATTGAAATTCATAATGGCACCTGGCAGGGATGCCCACTCTCTTCTTACCTATATATCTTAGCTATGGAGCCTTTAGCTACAGCAATCCAAGCTAACCCCCATATAATGGGAATTCCAGCCGGGAAAATTCATCATAAGCTTAGCCTCTTCGCTGATAATATACTTCTTTATATTTCTAATCCAAGTGATGCCTTTCCACATATATTGGATGAATTCTCCTGATTAGGAGCCCTTAGTCATTTTAAGGTTAATTATTCCAAGTCTGTAGTTTTGAATGTTTTGCTTAAAAAAAAGTATGCATTCACTTGGAAGGACGACTTCATGCAATATCTAGGGGATCCCAATTCCCTCTAATCTGTCTCGCCTCTATGAGTTAAATCCTCTTCTGTTGATAGGTCGGACTTTACAAGACTTACAAGTTTGGTTCAGACTTCCCCACTCATGGTTAGGAAGGATAGTGCTGTTTAAATTGTTAGTCTTAACCCGATTCCTCTATTTGTTACAAACAGTCCCAATTAGTCTTCCACATACCTTTTTTACTCACCTCAGAATGGCTTTATTGCGCTATGTATGCGCCAAAATAGCCCCTAGATTGAGATGTGACATTTTAGTTCAGCTTAAAGAATCAGGTGGCTTAGGTCTCCCACATGTTGAACTCTACTACAGGGCCTCGCTATTGTCTCATATCTTGGACTGTTGCTTTAATAAGGTCTCCCTTGAAATGGCCCTTTCCCTGGTACTTCTGTATTCATTTCCTTGGTCGCAACCCATGGTCAGACCTAGCAGGGATTTCCTAACATTTGTGGCCCCTCCTCTATTAAGAAGATGTTCTGTTGCTCAAACTTCCTTTATTCCTATATTGGCCCTCTTACACCTGTAATGGGTAATCCTGATTTCCATCCTGGCAAAGTCCTTCTTTATGTGGCAGGAAAACAAGCCATCCCCTATTTGCATGTCAATGTCAGCCAGGAAACTGCAACCTTTGTCATCTTTAAACCCAAATACATCTACTATGTATTTGGCTTTGTTATTTCCAGCTCAGGGATTTCTTTCATAAATTGGATCAACGATCCAAACTGCCAAGACGGCTCACCGCCTTTGAAGCATTATGTCAATATTCTGAGGGCACAACATACAAACTATCTTTGTTATACAGGCTACTACTGTCAGGTGTGAGTCCCTCCCGCTCATACTTTGTAGCGGAATGGGAAAGAGATCCTAATTGTTCCTTGACGAATGATGAGGTCCATAAATCACTTCTTTTCACACATAAGCTTAGATTTGTGACATTTGCGCAGGAGAAAAGCTACAAATTGCTTAGTATATAGTATCATAGCCTGCATATTCTCCATAAAAGGTACACTCGATCCCTGACATCTGCTGGAGGTGCGGAGCGGGAGTGCATATTTGATGGTATTATCCGCCAGTCCAAGTGTTGTGGCAAGAGGTCTTCTGTGTTTTTTAACAAGTGACCTCTAGTTCAGTCACTCCTCTCGATCCTACCTGGCTCAACTCCTCGCTGTAAGTGGGGTTTATTACATTTTTTCCTGCTGGCAACCAGAACAATTATTCCTTGCCACTGAAAATCATTGGTAAGTCCCACCATTACTGAATGGGCTAAGGAAATGGCTCATGACAAGCGATAGCACAGACCCATGATAGGACCAAGAAATATTTTGGAACCTGTACTATGTGGCTTCTATTCATGGACACTTTTCTGGCACTTTTGGTAAATATAATACAGTCAAACAGTGAGTTTTATGTGTAATTGATATTGCTGGGCTGCCTCCCTGGACTATTACTTTATCTAGCTGTACTCTGTATGACTTTCCTTGCTTCTATCTGTCTTAACTCTTTTTTCCCCCTCCTTTCTCCCCTCCTAATCCTCTCAGATTCCTCAATAGATTTTGCAAACTATGATGATAGGAGAGACATGATTCCATGATGTTGACAGTTGGTAGTTTGGAAACCATTTTACCCATCCTGCTGTCTTTGATTGTACCATGATCCTTTTAAAGGGAGTTTGGTGGAAAACTTGCATTTTCTGTATCTGCTCTATTATTTTCAATGAACATTTAAAACAAAAATAAAAAAAACATAGCACATGGTTTTCGGCACCAAGATCCTAGCACTAATAGTGCTTGTTGGATGGTTTTCTTAAGAGAAAAAATTACACTACATGCCCTGACCCCTAACCTATACTAAACCTTAACCTGACATTAAACAAATCCCGCCGCCAGACTATAGACAAGTATTTACCGTACATATTCTGAACCCGCAGTAAAAGCACTTTAAAACCGGCCGTTATTCACCTGTGGAGCTATAGGCATTTTAGAGAAACAACAAAGGCACTGAATCTCTTTTCCTGTTACTTCATATTGCAAAAGAATCTTGGCGGCGTGCCAGCCTTCTAATGCAAACACTCAGCAGGTGTTTGTTAGCCTTTAGAAATGGACAGAAACAAGTTTATGAGGTCTTTGTTGTGATCCTTGAGAATGGTGGGGAATGAATTACTTCACAGTACAACCAGCTAGAGAGGTCACAGTGGGCTGTATAAAAACTCACTGCTTATTAAGAATATGCAAATACTTTTAATGTCCCTAATCTGGGCACAGGTGCACTTTAAGGTGGCTACACACATATCCATATGGTCATACAATCGATCAGTCAGTGCGACAAAAACAATTCAACCGATTAAGTGATCTTTCAGTTCATTTATACTCTGCCAAGACAATATGCTGTGGTGTAAATTTGTTGAACACTTCTGACTGATCCAACAAATATCTGTGTGTGTCAGGAGAGTCAATAATAATTCAGATTGACTAAGCAGTCCTCTTTAATAAATTGTTTACATGTATAACTGATAGATTTTTATTTGCAATTGATACTTTCAGTTGTTCAGTCGCACAGTATGAAATAATGCTGTTTTGTTACATTGGTCGATATGTTAATCAATAATGAATAGCTCATTTGTGATCGCGTGTATCTAAGACAATCACAAGTCACTTTGTGTATTGCCACCCTTTATTTATTTTTAGTAACCTAAAACTTTTCGTTCGATAATCGTATGTGTGCATTGCAGTGTCCAACCGACATTACTGTACAATCATACGACTTTTGACGGTCAAGCATGTTTGAAAACTTTGCTAGATCGTACGATTGTCGTAAGGTTGCTGGCGTTTCCATCCGTCAAAAGTCGCGCGATCTACACTGCGCTTGCGCTAACGAAAATACGGCAAATCACCTTTACTCAGATCATGCAGTGTTGTAAATACAATACACCACTTCAGTGCTTGTAATTTAAGGCCCATCCACACAATGCCATCTGTGACACAAAACAGGTGTGATTTCTGTAATCAATATGCCTTTAGAAATTATAACCAGATTTTGGCAGCTGTGTAATAACCTCTATAAAATAATGAATATGTATATATTTGCTTTGGTCTATGTAGGTGAAAGTAGAGCTTTTGTTATATTTGTGTCTAACTAATTTCTTTGAAACTCTTTTCCTAACTCAGTACCATTTTCTCTCATTTCCTCTGTACTTTTCTCTGTCACCTCAGTCTGTTCTGCAAACTGGCAGCTCTTGTCAGACATAGGATCTCACTGTTTGGTAAGTCATTTACATTTAGGACAGGAAAGGAAACTACAAGTAGATTTCTCTATTCCAAACAATGCATGAAAATAGCACTTAACCTGCTTTCTGTGTGGTGTGTGGGATAACACTAAGCAAATTATTGTGGTATAAGGCACATGGTCACATGTTTTTTTTCTGCAATAAATAAGATATTATATGATGGTTATTTAAAACATTTTAAAGGTACACTTCAGTCAAATGTACAAAAAGTTGATTGAATAACTAATGTTCTCTTTCTTGCATTCAACTAGTGCCTATGGCTGTTTTCTTCAGGATACATTTTTATGGTTGCTGGAATCTGCATCTTTAAAACCTCCATAAACCCAGGCCATTGTGCTCACTAGTTCAAACATATCCTTCTCTGTGAGCTTACTCCAGCCTCACAAACACACTGAGGAGGGTAAATTGAATGTTTCATAGAACACAATTCTGTGACCAAAGGCTTGAATATGATATAATCTGATATTACTGTAAATTGAATGGACTGGTTTTAGCACAATTCCAGCATTTCCTTAATAGCATTATCAGTTCACTGATCAACTTAACTGCTTGCCTGGAGTTGCCCTTTAAGATGCCACAGTATTAGTTGTATAACAAATGGTATGTATTGATTAGAATATTTTAGTGGAGAAGAATGAAGATCAGAGAATGGATGAATAACAGAATAAAGGGTATTAGACTCTGGAAGCTATGGGTCAGAGTGACAGAAACTGATGGGAAGAATCACCAGTGAGGATAGAGATAGCAATAAAAAATGCACTTTTAGTAGAGTGGGTAACGATAGATCCTCTTTGCCTTCTCATCATTGTTTCTATTTGTGTACTGGTGTGGCAAGAACAAAAATCACACCAATGGAGCAATAGACCGTAAACAAGACCTCTAATAATTGGCTGGCACATTTATATACATTTTCACCATCCATAGTACAAAACAAAAATCAAAGAAATACATGGAGGCCGATTTGCTGGCTCTGCCTAAACACACCTCAGATTCACTAAAAGCAGTGTGACCAATGGCTTTATATTGGTCATGGGATCAGGCTTAGAACCCTGATTTAGTTTCTCTGTAAAAAAAATCAGGCAACTGGACTTGTATTTTATTTTTTATTGCAGACATTTTGCTGGTCACACATTTTAAATTGAGATATAATACAAAATATAAAAAATCATAAAAAAAAAAATAAAGCATAAATTTTTTTTAAAAGAAAACAATTTTTTTAAGTCCCCGCCCCCACATACACACGCAGATATGCGTCGGGTGCGCCTATGTGCGAAAACGACGATTGCGCCTATTGTAACCACACTTATTTTCTGGCAGTGCCCCCCCCCCAAAACTACACTCTGGATCCGCCCCTGAGTTGGATGGCCAGCAAAACGTCTTCAAGAAAAAAAAAAGACAGCAAGTTTAGTTGCCTTGATTTACCATGACCTGGATGAATGAGAACCTCCACTGATTGATTTAGTTTAGTTTTATAAGAAAAAAGATTTTTATGTATCCCTATTTAGTTTTATTTACAGCGTTGAGGGAGGATATCCGTATAACTATGCTTTAACTTTAGATTTGACTTATTATCTGCTGTTAAAGAAATCATGGTTAATGATTAATTAAAAGAGAATTATGAGGTAAGTGCTTTTGACTCACCTCATAATCTGAGCCGACCTGTGACAATGAGACTGTCACAGGTCGGCTCAGTAGATCGGGAAGTGAGCGAACACATACCGGCGTTCGCTCACTTCTCGATCCTGTCACTGCAGAGAGCCGTGACAGGGGAGTGACTGGATTCTCCCCTCCCCGCTCCAATCCTCCTGTGCTGACTGGCGGAACTGACGGGGGAGGGGGCGGGTACAGCTGCTGTCGGGATCCATTTCAGCTGCGGCGTCTCAGTATACCGTGAGCTGCAGCTCGCGGTATACTGAGCTTTGGGTAACGGGAGGACGCTAGTTTGTGTCCTCCCGTTACCCTTCGGAGAACTATGGGGAAAAGCCCTAACCCCATAGTTCTCCTTTAAGCAATAAACGGCCCTGTAGCAACCTAATCCTACAATGATATGGCCATTGTGATTTAAGTTTTGTATTTCTACTGATATTGCATGTCACCTGTGTGTCATTGTTACATTCATCAAACACAAGAGTTATACAATAGCCTGTGCAAACATATTTAATTAACATTGTGTTCTAACAGTAGTTGTACACAATAAGATGTTTTCTCTTGTCTTTTTACTACAGGAAGTGATTCTGCCACCATGGTGAGCTGTTTGCACATTCTGGCCCAGACGCTTGACACACGGTACATTTTATGAGATTTTGATAAAAGTGTTGCAGTATCTTCCTTTATTATTTAGGAAAACAAAAAAATTAAAGCAGAATTCTCGGGATTTTTCTTTTATTAACACTTACAGTGGAACTATCCCTGCATTGCAAGGGTTAAGTGCCTCCAAACTGGCTTGCTCTTAGACCCATCCCTTCTGCCTCACAGGTCTAAGGTGCAGTGAGTCATCACGTTCTATTCGCTTTGAATAGAACGCCGAAGGACATACCATCACTGCAGCAGAGGAGGAGAGAGGCAGAGGGGACCAGTCTAAGAGCAAGCCACCTTTGAGGATCAAGTGAGTATAACTTTGTTATTTTTGAACCTAGACATCAACAAGCACTTAAACCTTACAGTGTGGGGGTAGCCCCACTGCAAGGGTTGAGAAAATTTTCCCTGGAGTTCCGCTTTAATAAACCATTTGTGCTGGAAAATAAAACATTTCAACCATCTTAATTCCATTGTTAAAAACTATTGCTGTAGAAATCCATTGGTTGAAAGTCTAGCTGTGAATCTGTATACTATGGTGTCTATTCACTAAGCTGCCATAGGCAGCCGAGTGAATAAACGACCCGAAGTGAAGTGAGCCGAAAGCTGTTTGGCTATTCACTTCAGGCTAGTACGGCTGATTTCAGCCATATATCGTCTGAAATCAGCCGTACACCGGCTTGCTTCGTGCGGCTTCAGGACGGCCGAACATGTTCGGCCGACCCAAAGTGCAGAAGGAGTTCGACTCAGCCGATCCAACATCAGCATTCAGCTCGGTACCTCTGTTCTGCTCGGCACCTCTGTGGTACCGAGCAAAATAGAAAAACAGTTAAAAAAGTAGTAAAAAATAAAATAGAAAATGATTGGGCGGAGCTATCAGTGACAGCTAGCTCCGCCCAACTGTTTTCTATTGGCCAGGCGGTTTTGCTGCCGTCAAAATAAAAAAAAATCACTATAGGTATGCATAGCTAGATTCCTATTGGCTATTTCACTTTGCAAATTGCAATTGGCCAATAGGAATCTAGCTATGCATTCCTATGGTGATTTTTTTTCTTTTTTTTTTATTCTGATGCCAGCCATCGGCTCCGATGTCAGAAAAAAACCCTTCAAAAACAGAGCAGGGAAAGCAGAGTAAACCTTTCTGGGAGAAAGTGTTTCTCTGGTGGGTGGGAGCCGCTAGCGTCTGGGAGAGTTGGGCTGTCTGTCTGAGATCAGCGTCCCTGGTTACCTGGTAACCAGGGACGCTGATCTGTCTGTGCAAGTGGACTGAGCCGCTCGGCCGACTTCAGGAGCTGTACGGGCAATAGTGAATAAGCTGAATAAACTGAACCGAAGAGGTCCTGGAGCCGAAGCTAGTCGAAGGATCAGCCGAAGCTACGGCTAGATCCTTCGGCAGCTTCGTGAATAGACCCCTATGTCATGCTGAACTCTTGCATTGTAATTGATATTATTCTTATTAATCATATAGAAAGCACACTCCCTGCTCATCTCATTCTATGTTACCTATTAACATGTGAGGAGAGATATCACTTTCTAAACTTGGCTTTCTCGCTCTGTCATTTTAGCACTGTAATGAAGTCTGGATCTGAGCTGGTGAAAGCTGGAGTTCGTGCTTTCTTTGAAAATGCTGCAGAAGATTTGGAAAAGACATTAGAAAATCTGAAGCTGGGGAAATTTACTCACTCTAGGACTCAGATGAAAGGAGTCTCCCAGAACATTAACTACACCACAGTGGCCCTCCTTCCTATACTGACATCCATTTTTGAACATGTGGCTCGTCACCAGTTTGGAGTTGATTTGCTGTGTGAGTGCTTAATTTTTATTGAAGTGGAATGCATTCACAATCCAGTTGAACACAGAATACAAATCTTCCACATATAATAATAGATTATCAGTAGAATACAGCTAGAGGCTCTTTGCCAGCTGTTGTTGTGGATGCCAGCAGTCAGTGATAGCTCAGCATGAGGCTGTCTGTACACCCTCATACATGTCCTATAATCACGACGCTGAGAAGTTAATTTAACCCCTTCATGACTGAGCTAGTTTTCAGGTTCTGTTCATAAATGACTGACACATTTTTTACATTTTTGCTGTGTGATTCTTCCACAGCAGTAATATACTTTCTTACTAAATGTACCCACACATATTATATATTGTTTTTTAGAGGACAGATAGGGCTATATAATTATATCACATATGTGTACCTAACCCCTCACTTAGTTTGAATAAAAAAAAAAAAATGAGGAAAAAAACTAGAAGAAAACACTTTTTTCACAAGTTTTGATTATTTTTTTTTTTTTTTAGAATTTTTTTATATTAATTATAGTATAAAAAATATATTTATATATAATTTATATTTTCCTAATTTTGTTTTACACTTTATTTTAATTTTTTTACACTTTGTAAAAAAAATAAAAATAAAATAAAAAAACTTTTTTTTTTCTTGTCAGTTTATATCAAGCAATCACTATGACAGCTTGATAAATTAACTTTTTTATTTTATTTTTGGCTATTAGGCTGATCCAAACTTAGGAACAGCTAATAATAACCTTAGAGACTGATCCTGACTTTAGTCAGATTCAGATCTCACTAAAAGCTCTTTGATCGTGCCTAGACGATCAGAAATGATACATTTCACTCAAAAGAGATACATTGTATTCTTTCAGTGAAATGTATCTAAACATCGGGCTCTCGAACTGTCAAAACAAATAGCAGAGAGGTGAGGTGAGTCACTGCTGCCTCTCTGCTATTTTGAGCTGTCAAATACGGGATCGCAAATTGCGGTCCTCTATTTGCATGTAACGGCTTCATTCTTTCATTAATGAAAGGAAGAAGCTTTTACAAAAAGCTTAATTATTTCATTAATTAATGCCTCAATACTGAGACATTAATGAATGACTGTTAAATGCTGAGAATCAGCAAATACCGGCATTACAAAGCCTGATATAACTCGTCACGTACAGTGTATGTGGCCAGTCATATAGGCACAAAGTGACAAGACGTACACTGTACGTCTCCCGTCACGAAGGGGTTAAGTGGACTTTGTACTACTATTACAAAGTCCACTTTTTTAGTGTGCCCCAGAACAAAATGCTAAAAAAAGAAAAGATATGGGGGGAATGTTAGGTACTATAGATAGCTCGCCTACACTTCAACCCATTGTGCATAGGCGAGGTTGATTTTACCATTATTCTGGGAAGATCCTAGTGAATACCTAGTAGCCCAAATCTTTCAACAATACGCTACTTCACCGTGATGTAGCATCCTTTCACAAGATTTGGGCCACACGGCATCCACTGGGATCTCATTGAAAAGAAGGTGACGTCTCCCCCACATTAAGTAAGCTGGGCGTAATGTTACCTAATTGTTTTCCCCCACAAGTGTCGTTGGTCTTTTTTTGCAGCAGCAGTTAAGGATAGGGAGGGGGGGCACACTGACCTTGGATAACTTGCAAGGTTCGGTTTAATATCTATTGTTTAATAATAATGCTAAATGATTGATTTAATGGGTTTTGCTTTTTTTAACAGACTAACTCTGTAGTATATGTGTTTGGAAAGCCGAAACAAATGTTGAGCACTAATGTGCGAGAACATAAACCTGCATTTTATTTAAGCAGAATTTGGATAACCATTTTGTTTAAGCAGAATTTTTTTTGAATCTAAATAAAAGCTATGTACTCGTAACAGTTGGTAATCCTCATAACCTAGAAAGATATATTAATACACATTTTCTCATGGCGGCAGGGTAATATTACCTCTATAGTTCATATTTGCACATGACTGCAGTTCGAATGAAACCTTATGTTAAATTCTTGTGTTCCCAATACAAATATTGGTCACAAAATGATAGTGTATTTTGTATTACTGTACTGCTTACATTTAATTTATATTCCTAGATGACTAAATACCAGATTTAATCATTACATGTGTAGGTTCTTCATTATCTGACATTTAAACAACCAGCATTCTTAAGCGACCATTAAAAAATGTCCTCCTACACCGCTCAGCTTCCTGTCACATTCCGGCAGAGCGGTGTGTGGGCGGAGACAGCCAGCGCTGTCACAGTGGGCCGGCCAACGGTGTGGGAGAGGAGTCAGCTTTCAAATCAAGCTCTCCCCCCGCACTGCTCGCTCAGCCTCCTGTGACAGCTGTCAGGATGGAGAGCAAGTGCAAACACTCAGCGATCAGTGATCGCTGAGTGTTTGTACATAATTGAGGACATAGTATGGTTACTATATCCTCAATTATGAATGAATGGGAAGTGATCTGCATCATCTCCTGTTCATTCATGATTGTGGTTATATTAACCATACTATGTCCTCATGTTATGGATTAACAGGAACACTCAGCATAGAGGATTCCTGTTTATTTTTTACAGGGGATGCAGAAAAAGACATTGAGGATCTCTTTTTCTATTTTAAAAGGGAAATATCAGGGGTCTGTTTAGACCCCCAATTTTTCCCCAAAGCCCCTAAAAGTAAAGTAAAAAATACAAATATTTAATAAAAAATGAATAAATTTAAAAAAATGTAAAAGTTTTTTAAAAAAATATTTAAAAAATTGAAAACATTAAAATAAAAAAACATGTTAGTTTCGGCCTGACAATTTTTTTTATTTCAGTTTTGAAATTTCCATTTCGGTGCACCCCTACATTTAAAGACTGGTAAATTGAAATACATTACATTTTTGCTATTAAATTTAGATTGGTTTTAAGGGTTAAAACAAGTAAAATGGAGAGAAACATTTGAAAAGGTGGTAATAATATAGCTGCCCACTACAGATGAAGTAATCTTTAAAAGTATTTTATTGTATAGGATACAGCATAAGCCTGGGCACACACCTTACAACCATCGCAAGACGCAAGTAAGGTACTTAAAAAAACGTACAATCTGCCTATCTTGCATAGGCAGATCGTACTTGCGATGATCGCAAGCCATGCCCCCTGAGGGGCGGGCTTCCGATGACCGCAATGCCGAATGGGCAGTGTGCGCTTGCGCACACCGGCCCGTACAGCTTTTATCGTACGGACATGCCACGAACATCGTACGATCCTCGGCGGGTTTTCGAACATGTCCGTAAGTTTAAAGTCGTGCGCCCTTACAGTAGTAGAGGTCACACGGCTTCCACACACCTTACGATAATCGCACGATCGCGGGATTTCCCGCGATTATCGTACGATTATCGTAAGGTGTGTGGTGACCTTTACATGTGGAAGCACAATAAATACATTTGTTTGACATGATTTTCTGCTGTATTACTACCTAAAGCAGGTATATATTTCTGCTTATTTTTTAGTGGATGATGTTCAAGTTTCCTGCTACCGGATCCTCTGCAGCCTTTATTTACTTGGAACCGGAAAAAACATCTATGTTGAAAGGTACTCATATGGCTTTCTTCCTGTTTGTAAAATGCCAAGCTTTCCTGTTAATGAACAATAACAAATGTTCTGCTATACTGAATGACAGGACGGAGATCTGCACTAGTGTATGGGACCCCTCAATACAATATATTTTTGGTCAATTGTTCTTAGTGTTCCTACAAAGTTCTATTTTCTCATTTTACACGACTGAAGTGGCAATCACTTGCCTGTGTTTCATCCTTGGAGGGGCTAGAACACCTTATCTTTGAGGCTTCTCTACTTTGTCCATGGAGGCGCACAGAATAAGGTGTAATACTAGATACTTGAACAAGCCACCTTGCTCATATGAGTACAGGCTTTTTTGGAGAGTGTAACCACTTTGTAATGTTTTCACATCTTCTCTGTTTTGTGTTTTAAAATGTTATAAAAAATTACTGAGACAGAAAAGAAGTAATCACAAAATTCACTGAAGGAAGCACCATATTTTTTTTTTCTTGACTAAAAGACTTTTAGGGCTTGTTCACACGGTATCCGGACCATGTCCAGACCAGAACAGTTTGTTCCCAGACCAAAAAAGCATCCCAAAATATCCCTATGGTATTTCTTGGCTATGTTCACACCAGCGTTCGTTCCGGTCCAGACAAAAAAAATAAATACTGCTTGTTTCATTTTCTCTGGCCCGGAACACATGCAAACACACTGGACAGCACCTAAAAGCCTATTTTAAGCTTAAAAAAACACACACCGAAACACGGCAAAAACGTACTGCACTGTGTTTGCACATCTGTTCTGGTGCGGGGGGGAAATTCTGCATGCACTGAAACGCACCAAAATGCATGTAAACGGTTTAAAAATGCATGCAAACACACTGGAACGCACTGGACTGCACCTGAAAGCCAATTTTAAACACCGAAACGTGACAAAAAGGAGGCAAAAACACACTGCTCTGTCTGATCCAGAAGCCTAAGGGCTTGTTCACACCATGTCCGGACCAGATCTGGACCAGAACAGTTTTTGTCTGCACCTGCAATGCATCCCAATGTATTTCTATGGTATTTCTGGGCTCTGTTCACACCAGTGCAGTCCGTTCAGGTGCGGAGAAAAAAATGCTGCATGCACTATTTTGGGGGGTCTAGAACGCGACACAAATTCATGCAAACGCACTAGAACGCACTGAACTACATCTAAAAGCCCATGTTAACCACAAAAAATGCACCAGAATGCATAGTGACTATGTCGCCCAGAAGAAGGGACCCTGCATGGCCCCAAAACATTGTCTGTATCACGCATGTGACGATTTAATAAAAAGTGCTTTACTTCTTGCACATATCCTCGAGTGCTGGTGACGTCTATTATGGACTGTATCTGACACGGCGCCATCCGTGTTGTCACTTCAAGCACCAACCTCTCATCCAAGGTCTGTACGCTGTATGGAGTGCAGGTGATTTCATATTATCAACTGGCTTATGTGTGTCATATCAACAGAGAAAGATTAGGATAGTTGCAGCTTGGGTCCCTTCACCCATTGGATTGACATTGATAAGTATTGGAATAGCCATCTCATTTGCACTGTCTGTACTGGCATGGTCCACCCATCACTTAGTCCCCGTTCACACCAGGGTGTTTGTAGCTGTATATATCAATTTTAAAATGTTGACCAATATTTTTACTGGAAGTTAGGAACTAAAATGTGATTTGAAATGCCACATACAATATTTTCCCTCTAAGCACAATAAGAGTTCGATGATTACCGTTATGACACTATTAGCAAAACAAGAATGGTAAGCGAAGATACACAGGAGAGTATGACAATGATGTGTAGTTAGAGAAGGTTTTTGCAGACTTGCAATTAACCTCTGTTGCCTTGCGGGGGTGCATCTTATTAACAAAGCATCACACAAGAGAGAGATTTTTAGTAACACATTCTGTCTGTGCACCCAGGAGGAGGAGGGAAATCTTTACCCAGTAAATTTCACTTGAAAACACATTCATTTTATTATTCCATTGAGCCTATTGTTAAATGATTCAATTTGTTAAAAAATGATTTCAGAATGAAAAGGCCTTTTGATGGATTGATCTTTAAACAATTACAAGGACACAAAAGCTTATTCTGAAGGGAATATACTATACACATGTTTTCTTTTGCTTACCAACCCCTAGTAAATAGATGGCAGTGGATTACATTGTGGGTTGTGCCCTGGACATTACACTGGTGTTCTGTATAAATAGAATGAAGTGCTTACTTACAAACAGCGGGGATGTGCCTGCTGCTTATAGTGTTTCCAGCTGCTGAGTACAAGAAACAGGCGTCAGATGTTCTGAAATGTCGTCTTCACGATACAATATTTGCTAGGGATTAAAGACTAGGAGCAGACTGTGTCCAGGAATGATCCCAGCAGCTCCCATTCCTCAGGAAAAGGCTTCGACAAACATGCTGTCAAAACCATAGCTGACAAGTAGAGAAAATATGTTATCAGGCTTTTATTTCTCTCTACCCAGGAGCTCCTTTTATTTACCCTAAACCCTTTAACTCCATTGTCTTTGTTTATACATAACTGTTACAAAGGCTGTAATATTACAAATTTTGCCACTTACGCACGGACTTGTGTGGCGGCAGAGAAAATTCTATCTGGATAAATTGCTTGTCTGTAGAAATGTCAGTTGTCGGAATGTTTTTTCCCTTTATTGAGGCAGACATGTAGCAACTAAATTGCCTGTCAAAAAGAACAGACAGCAAGCTGTGAGATAGCCAATCAATGCAACGTTCCAGCAGCTTAATTCAGGCAACAGGGAAGAAAGCCAGCGGGAACAGAACATAAATAAATACCTTTAGCTGATTAATTGGGTTCCCTATCTCTGTATCATTCAAACCACACGTACAAAATCAAAGATTTTACTTCAGAGCTGCCGATCGAATACGTTTACCACAAGAACTCATATCTAGAGTTTAATCAATTAAGGTGTCAATTATGAATCTGGAGACATATTTCAAAAGACGGAAACTGTGATCATTTGGTCCACGATGTATTTATGTAGTAACATTAGTGCAATATGTACATTTATTTGTGTACCATACTCATATTCTCTAGTATGGTAGTCAAATAGTAATACGTCAGGATTATATTAGCATTTTAATATCTGGCTGCTTAAACCGTAAATAGTTTGAAAATGCTGTCACTTTTGTGCCTTGTTAATCTTCTCTATGCCTCACTTGGCACATTTCAGTCATGGAGCAATCCAGGCATAGTTATAATGTTTAATTTAGATGATATTTTGATGTACGATTGCACACAACCTTGACAGTAAAACAACTCATTTTAAAAGCATAAAGATGACAGTTTCAGACACAATGCGATGCAAAACTATTGCTAACAAAGTTGTACTGTAAAAAATAAAAATCAGGAACAGATCTATATCCTTGGAGGATGTAGACATACAGTTTTGGTGTCCTTAGGACTTTTGCATCAATTAAGCATAACTCTTTTACAAAAGGACATTTGTATGTTTTGGTTCAATCTAAATTTATTGGAGTCATCATTGTATACATAATACAATTGAAGAAAACTTTAAAATAAAATCAAGTTTGTTATTTCTAAAATACAAAGTGGCATATTAAGTTTTGTTGCAGGTAGAGGAACTCATTCATTTTTCATTACTTGATATCAAGTAAAAACATTGATACAACAATACCAACATCTGATGCAGATATGCAAATGTTGCTACCTGCATATTGTACCATGTGGTTAACCGCATCCTGTTACAACATGTTTGAGATTGAGGAGGAACATGCAGGCAGGATAAAGGAGATATTGGCTTGAAATCAAAAGGGTTAGGGTGGGAGGTAGAGGAATCGTGACATGAAAATGTAAGAAAGATGGGGTAGAAGGGGTGGGGGAGTGAGGGAAGGGGGGTATTCCCTCCCCACCTCCGCCAAAGTCAGACTGAGAAACACTAGTGTCCTTTTCAAATGTGATGTCTCAAAACTCTTGATAATGTTGAGGTGCAATCCATGCTGCCCAGGTAGTAACAAAATAGTCTATCCTGTCGTGGTCCTCTGCAGTTAAAGGTTCTTGCCCGGGAGACATTGGCAAATGTTCTTGTTTTGCTACTAATGTTAAAATGAGTTAAAATTAGGAAATACAATTCTGTGATCTATTTTTGACTAAAATGTCTCCCTTATGTTCCTGTTATGCCAATAAGTAAAAGCAGGTATATGTGCATACTATATGACTCCTTTGACACAAACCTTAACCACTTATTAATGATTTTATGTAAAGTAACACTCCGTTGGCTATTTCCTCAAATCCATTACTTCATTCTTCTTTAAAAAAAACACAAGTGTTGCTTAATATTTAAATACATGTACAACATAATCACCACATACCCATGAGTTGGAAAAGTAGGCACGGTGCAGATGTGGGGATCATTTTTGCCTATTGTGCATTTGTCCATTTTTTAAATTTCTTTTTAAATGTTCCTATTTCTGACCACCTGTCATCAACACACATACCTAAATATTGAGTAGGAAGGAGGATAGAAAATTCTATTAAGACACTATTAATTGTTTTTCTTTTTAAACCTAATTTTTCAATGTTTTTCTTTACAGGCAGCGGCCCGCCCTGGGAGAATGTCTGGCAGCTCTGGCTGGAGCTATTCCCGTGGCTTTTCTTGAGCCATCACTAAACCACAACAATCCACTCTCTGTTTTCAATACCAAATCTCCACGGGAGAGAGCTAGTACGTATTCCTCCCCTGTCATGCTGTGTACCTTTGTATGATATTGTTTTATATCTTTTGAATTTAGAGCCTTGTTTAATTAGTAGGTGAAAATATTTTATCCAATACACTTAGTTGGAAACAGGAAATAAGAAATATGTTATTTGTATAGATCTTTTAATACCAGTGTTAGCAAGAGCAGATCATTTTACTTTATTATTTATTGAGCTGACTCATATTCATGGCAGAGTTTTTAGTATCTTTCCTGCCATAACAGGGGTACAGATTGGTTGCTAGTAGCATTAAACATGCTAAGAAATATTGCATTGGCTAATGCACAAAATTGATTACTTTGCTTTTATTTTTAATGTAAAATGTTGCAAGCAGTATTGTAACCCTCTTTTCTTCTTAAAACTCTAAATGTTTCTGACTAGTGAAAAGTGTGAGGATGTATTCAGGACGTCCGATAATGGAGCTATTTCAGCAGGAACTAATATATAATTTTATTTAAAATAGAGGTCCCCAGCAGTAAAAAAACAAGGATAACTAAACCCAAGAACAAAATTTTAATATATTGCAGCTTGCTAGTTCTTGGATGTGGTGGGTGTGTTTTTTTTTTTTTTTAAGCATATAGATTTTTATGGAAAATTTTTCCATCAATACAGTACAAGATTGCAACTTGTTACATCCTTAAAGTAAAGGTCATGAATGTGGACACATCGACATAAGTAACTTGCATAAAAGCCAGTTACGTAAGTATGTATAATTACTTACAGCTGCAAACGATGTGAAAGTACAAACATAACAGAATCTGGATGTATTAGGAAGGTGTGAAGTGGTGGGTGTGTTTTCATGTTTAATGCATATTATAGTACAGAAATTACCTGTTGATCTTGCCAGAAATGCAGTGTCATTGTCACTTTCTGTGAGATCAACAGAAAGAAAATATTTTTTTTTTAATCTTTGTATTGTAAACTACTAATTCTATCAGCTCCCATGGGATACAGCTGAATAAAGGCAGACATGTTTGACGTCCAGCCTAAGTGGCAACCATGGCTTCCTCCATAGGTACAGTGAAGGAGCATAGCCACCCAGGAAAAGGAAGTGTGTTATTTCCATGGCTATCATGTGAATAAAGGTAGAAAAGTCTGAGAAAAGAAAGCTAATTTGAGCACCTCATCTAAGGACTGGTAAACTGTAATATATTTAATTTTTGTTTTTGGGTTAAGATTTGCTTAGCTGTCACAATTCCCAACTTACCTGTATCAATTGCAGGGGGCTTACACTTGCAGCATGTCAGTACTTGGCACTCTTGTCAGTGACTTGCAACCTATAATTTCCCTGCATGAAAATAGTGAGGCCTCTTGCACATGTTTAATGACATCCTTACATCAAAATGACAGCACTGATGTGCTTCCTGTCATAGACAGGAATTGCATCCCTTCTGCCACACCTCCTGACATCACGTCCTGTTTGATCACTTTAAAGCTGCAAGGTTTAGTGTGAGAGAGTGCTTAGTTGTTTCAGATCTATCAACAGTGTGTTCCAGTTGCTAGCCGTGTGATTCCGTTTACCTGACCTTTGCTACGTTTATCAACTCTGATCCTTTGCTGTCTGCCCTGACCTTATTTTTCGTTTGACTATGGTTATTGGATTTACCCTTTTGTACCACGTATTTGGAATCTGTACCTGATTAATTTCCTGAGTACGCTATGCCAAGGTGTGTGCCCCTGCTATTGGGCTCGGCTATACAATTACTGATCTAACAACTGAGCCAGTATGGAGCCTGCAGGGTTAGCTGAAGCATTAACTCAACAAACAACAGTGCTGACACAATCTGTACAACACCTACAAGGTTCACAAGCAAATGTAGAAGCCAATCAAGTAAGATTGGACAAGCTGGTTAATGCACCTCCATCTGCTCCTGTGCCCGAGGCACCTGTGATGTATCCAGAGAGAGGTGCTGCTGCTCCTGAACCCAAAGTTGCATTACCTGATAAATTCCATGGAGCCTGCTCAGCCTATCGTACATTTATTAACTCATGCCAGATACTTTTTTCCTTACAACCTCATACCTATGCAACAGATTTTGTTAGGATCTGGACTGTGATATCCTTACTGACTGGTGAACCTCAGACCTGGGCACATCATTTGTTGCACATTCATAGCCCTATATTGAATTCCTGGACTTCCTTCATGGAAGCCAAGGATGTGCTATATGAAGATCCACATAAAGTAGCTTCTGCTGCAGCTTCACTTCAAGCCCTCAGACAAGGAAGAAGAAATGTTGAGGAATGCATTACACAATTTTGTCACCTAGCAGTCGAATCCAACTGGAATGAACCGGCTCTGCTAGATCAGTTTCGCTTAGGACTTTCTGAAGCCCTAAAAGATGAGTTGGCCAGAGTCGTGTTCCATCCACACTTGAAAGCACTGTCTCCCTGTCTATACAAATTGATCACTGATTAAGGGATATACTATTCCTCATAGGCGCAATACATTTTCTCCCCCTTTCAGTTCTGCCATATCCCCTGAAGCTACCACAGATGAACCTGTTGAGAAATCTCGTTGTAGGTCTAAGGGACTATGCTTATATTGTGGCAAGCCAGGACATCAAGTGAGAGAATGTAAAGTTAAACCAAGTCCTAGTGGAGATAAGCAATCTACGCCCACCTCACAACAATTGCTACATACCATGTCCTCTCATCTAATCACATCTTTCTCTCTACAGTGGAATAAGAAACCTGTAAATCTCCATGCAATGATCGATTCTGGAGCAAGTGGCTGCTTTATGGATACTACATTAGCTTAAGCTTTATCAGTGCCTACTACCAATAAAGAAGTGCCTACACAAATAAAGTTAATAGATGGAACTCCTTTTAAATCTGGTCCTATTACCATAGAAACTATTACTCTACAAATGACCCTGGGTTCATGCCATAGACAGACACTTTCTTTTAACCTTGTCTAATCTCCCATTTATTCTCTGGTATTAGGAATAGACTGGCTACGGAAATATAACCCTACAATAGACTGGCAAACTGGTGTATTAGAGTTTCTTTCTACACATTGTCTGTCTTCTTGTCTAATACCTCAGACTATGCCTTGGACATTGGAACCTACTACTAATGTTAACAATATGTCAAAGATTCCTGTACACTTTTTGGCCTTCGTTTATGTTTTTGAGAAGAAAGGGGCTGATACTCTCCCTCCTCACCGAGATTATGATTGCCCTATCGATTTGTTACCAGAGGCTCCAATACCCTAAGGCAGGATATACCCTCTGTCCGAGCCTGAATTACAAGTTTTAAAAGAGTACATTGATGACAATTTAAAGAAGGGTTTTATAAGACCATCTACCTCTCCTCCTGGAGCTGGGATTTTTTTTTTTTTGTAGACAGATGGAGGCCTCCATTCATGTTATTGCACCTGGTTGCATAGAAATAGACACTTCCAAGATTCAAGCCATATTGTCCTGGCCAGTACCTACAAACAAGAAAGGGGTATCATGCTTTATTGGTTTTTGTAACTTCTATAGGAGGTTCACATGTACATTTTCAAAAGTTGTTCAGCCAATCACAGCACTCACATGGCAAAAAGTTACATTTCAATGGACTGAACAAGCTCAAAGAGCCTTTGATGTGTTGAAGGGGCAGCAAAGCCCTAAGTGTGATTTAAACATAAGTATTAGCTTAATATTTGAAGTAGCAGCACCTGTCCAGTTCATTTCATGTAAGGACCTGATTGCAGGACATCGACGTCACCGGACTCCTCCCCCCTTCCCTTCGTTAGCCGACGGAGCCACTTGGGGAAGGGGGAGGAGTCCGGTGATTTCGATGTCCATGACGTCACCAGATCTCTGACGGGACTCCCGAAAGCCGGCGGAAAGGTGAGTCTTTTCATTTTCGATCAAAAAGTTTAACGATTAATCGAGGAAATAATCGTTAATTTCCCCAGCCCTAAAATAAAGACTGTTTTTTTTTGCTACTATGCCATCATTATGGGATACCATCAGATCTCACACTACTGTGAACGATAAACCTTCCACAAAGCCCCCAATAACCTATCAAAATGGACTTGTATTGTATAAAGAAAGAATTTATGTTCCTCTTGCTGCAGTCGCTGGGATACTACAATATTGCTATGACACCCCTATAGGGGGTCATGGAGGGATACAGAAAAACATACAAACTCATTTAAAGAACCTTCTGGTGGCCTTCCTTATTAAAAGATGTGACATCTTACGTTACGGCATGTTCCATTTTTATTCATGCTCAAGACAGCCATAATTGCCCTCAAGGTCTTGTTGTTGTTGTTTTTTCCAGGCCCCGGACTTTCATTTCAATGGACTTTATTGTTGAATTACCCCGACACATGGTTACACTATAATAGTGGTGATAGTGGACCGTTTTAGTAAAATGTCTAATTTCATAGCCACAAAGAATCTACCTACCACCAGCCACACGGCCACTTTATACAAGAAGTGTTCTGCCTTTATGGTTTGCCAGGATCCATTGTTACAGACAGAGGTACTCAATTTACATCGACATTCTGGGCTGTCTTCTGTAGAGGTCTCCATATCCAATGCTCCTTGTCAATGCTGTACCTACTGCTAATGAACATTTGGAAGAAATAGTAAAAAACTTTTCAGTCCTAAGAAACCCATAACTCATGCCCAGACTCGGTACAAGACCTATGCAGACAGACACCATGACCCAGCCCCCCAGTACCAACCAGGTGATCAAGTATGGTTGTCCACTTCATTCCTAAAACTGAAATGTCCTGGCTGAAAATTAGGACCAAGATACAGTATGTGGGACCCTTTGCTATCAAACGTGTAATTTCTCCCACTCCAGTGAAACTGAATCTGCCTGATTCCTATAGAGTTCATCCTGCCTTTCATACATCACTGTTGAAGCCTGCTGTCCCAGATTATTGGCCTTCTCTATCCTTACTTACTACTAATCATATTATTGCAAAGTCCTTACTGCACATGAACTAATTTAGAATACTATGCACATGACTGGCAAATCACCCAAGAATTTATCTTAGGTAAAGACAAACTTCCACTAACATGTTTTACTTTTATGTATATAGCACAGCTAGACCATTGACTAGAATCTGAAATCAGCTTCGAAGAGACTCCAAAAATATCTATCCCAAGATTGAAGGGGGAGACAATTTATACTGCAGATAAAATTTTACTCCAATTCAATCTTGATGCTAACAATGACTGAATTGTTTAGTTAGATATATATGGCTAGTAAATTGCTTACAGATAAATGGAAACCTATACTTTACCAAAATTGGAAAATTATTTTGTCTTAGAGATGTCAGCTTTGTGTCAGTGTAGGGACAAGAGATGTTCAGGTTCTCTTTGTTCAGTTCCCCCTGGCAGTCCGTCAGTCAGCTCCAAATCTCTCCTTTGTATGTCTGCGTCCGTCCTCATGTATCAGTTCCCCATTTCACTTCTCCTTTGTATCCCTTCACTCTCTCTTAACGTTCTCCTAACTTTTATCACCCAAAAATGTAGGAGGAGAAAGCTTATCTCAACTTAATTATAACATCAGACACTTATCAGCTTACTCCAAATAATCTCTGCAATTACCTGAAGAGGGCAATGTTGGACTAGGAATAATTTTGGGTTTTTCGTTAAAATTCCATTATTATTCCATGAGATGACTTCTGACCTAAGCCTTGAACAAAACCATAAAATTTAAAGGGCGGTCTGTTAATTGGCAGAACTTGTCAGACCTACTGTCTCTTTAAAATATATATTGCTTGAGAAAGTTTGATCAAGAAAAACAATTCTCTTCTGCATACATTGAGAGTTAAGTCATCTGTACTAAGACAGTGGTTACTCACATTCTTTCACTGAATACAAAATAACAATATACCTAACATAATTATTTGTACTTTCAAAAATACCATATTAATAATATACACTAATATATGTCAATAAGTACAGCTAAATACTATATTTAAGGTATATAGGTTGAATATTGTATATATAAAAAAAATATTAAAACAATTACTCAACTAAGCAAATATTTAGATTCTTCATGTAATAATAATGATAACAATAATAATAATACAATTGAAATTATTGGTAATACCATTCCTATCAAATAATAATACTGTATACAAGGTAACTTTTATTGTCAGCTCTTTTTCCTATGTGGTAACGATAAAAAAAGGGAAAAACAAATAATGGCAAATATTTAATTTGTCCTTTGTTAAACTTGACACATGGCATCTCCCTTAATCTCACAGTATAACAAAGTCTGGTACCATGGTCAGTCCTTATCTTGTCGTTGTCTGGTACCCTCAGAATTTACAACCTGTGAATGTATGCTGTATGGGTCTGAAGATTGCTTAAGTCTTTGTCCAGAAACTATGAACTCAAATTCACCTTATATACTGAGATAATGTAAAGAACAAAGATGGATTCCAGTATGCCCATATTACATTATGCAGAATAATAGGTATAGGCCTTACAGTTTCTTCCTTTTATCACTCAATAGTTCTGACAACATCTTGGATTCTAGATTACGCCAAGGTCGTCTAGAACAGTGGTTCTCAACCTTTCTAGGGCCGGGACCCCTTGGTAACATTTGCCAAGTTGTGGTGACCCCCAACGGTAAAATTTAGGGATGACGCGGCTGCTTCAGCGACATCTGGTGGCGTGGCGGGAGAACTGACACTGCTGCGCTGGGAGAGTGCTGAGGAGGACTCTCACCTAGCACAGCAAAAATCACACAGCGACCCACAGCTAGAGAACCACTGGCGTACGAAGTCAGAATAAAAAAAAACCCACCATAGTAATGCATAGCTAGATTCATATTGGCTATTTCACTTTGCAATAGCCAATAGCAAACTAGCTATTGCACCCGTCCTCTGCTGCTGTCAATCACTAGAAGAGGACCTGATGGAGAACTACATGTCCCCCTCTGCTGATTGGCAGCAGCAGAGCGCGGGTGCAATATCTAGTTTGCTATTGCAAAGTGAAATAGCCAATAGGAATCTAGCTATGCATTCCTATGGTGGTTTTTTTTCTGACTTACGGTGGCCAGCGGCCCCCGATGTCGGGAAAAAAAACGATCGCAGGGAAAGGTTTACTCTGCTTTACACTTTCTGGGAGAGAGTGTTTCTTTCCCGGGCGGCCAGGAGCCGCTATCTAATAGTGGGAGACTCCCGGGCGACCCCTGGCAAATCGTGATTCGACCCCCGAGGGGGTCACGACCCACAGGTTGAGAACCGCTGGTCTAGAATATTTGATCCATTGGAAAGGAGGATCAGATGTGCACGCTCCTGCACTTGTGCTCTCTTTCCATAGATGTCTCCTGGCCTTTTGCGCTTGGGGGTGGGGGGAGCACTGTCCCAATTCCCAACTAACCTGTATAAATTGCAGGGAACCTCGGACTCGCAGCATGTCAGTACTTGGCACTCTTGTCAGTGACTTGTGTCCTATAATTTCACAGCATGAAAATAGTGAGGCCTCTTGCACAGCCGTGTGATTCTGTTTACCTGACCTTTGCTACGTTTATCAACTCTGATCCTTTGCTTAACCAATAATGTAGCGCTACACATCCCCTAGATAAATATGTGAAGTGGATAAGTAACAAGAAATAACGATAAATATCAAGCGGACCTTTTCTGTTAATACACGTGGAGCACTGAGACGCAGGGAACATTATAATCTTTACATATGGACATATTGACTTTTTGATTATCACTTTTCACTTTATTTTTAAGTATATTTATGATATATTTCTACTTTATAGTTTGTTGGTTTATTTACATGTAACTTGTGTAGATCACGGGTTTATACCTTTTGTTGAGATTTTATTTCCTTGCAGATATTCATCACATTATTATATCTCACTTTTGAAGGTAGTGGTTTCTGAGATAAGTACGTCCTAGCCAATCACATTACAGGTGAAACTCGAATAATTAGAATATCGTGCAAAAGTTAATTTATTTCACAAATGCAACTTATTCACTTGAGCGCAGTGTAATTTGGATTCCAAAAAACTAAGTACACCCTTATTGCTTCCATAAGAATTAAGAGGCTAAGTAGCAGCCAGGTGCTGCTAATCAAAGGCCCTTCATTAATTGTTCATCTATAAAAGATAACGTTTTAGCAGTTTGCTGGTCTGGAGCATTCAGGTGTTAACACAAGGAGGCAAGACATCAGAAATGATCTTAGAGAAGCAATTGTTGCTGCCCATGAATCTGGAAAGCCCTTTAAGCCCATTTCCAAACAATTTAAAGTCCATCATTCTCCATTGAAGAAGATTATGCACAGGTGGAAAACATTTAAGACACTAGCCAATCTTCACAGGAGTGGACATTCCAGCAAATTCACCATTATCAGACCATGCAATAACAAAAAACCCAAGAGTTACATCTCAGACTATACAAGCCTCAGCTGGCATGTTAAATGTTAAAGTTCATGACCTTAGTGACTAATGTCAGGTTGTGGGCTGTATTTTGCATCAGTCAGCTATTTATGTTTAATGAAAATATCTGTTTTTCAGTTTTAGGTATGCCAGATACAGTGGAAGAGATGTGTTCAGAAATGCCACACCTAGAGGGTCTTATGAAAGAGATTAATGACTTGGCTGAATCTGGAGCTAGGTACACGGAGATGCCACATGTCATTGAGGTCGTCCTTCCAATGCTATGCAACTATCTTTCTTATTGGTGGGAGAGAGGCACAGAGAATGTGCCAGAAAATGCCAGGCCATGCTGTACTCAAGTGACTTCAGAACACCTCAGTGTCATACTGGGCAACATCCTGAAAATCATTAACAACAATCTGGGAATAGATGAAGCATCTTGGATGAAGAGAATTGCAGGTAATCCTTCTAGTGATAATGAGTTGATTCACATCCCTATATAATGTCCAGACTTTCCTGACAGCAGGCCTGAAAACCTGTGAAAGGAAGTATTCAAGGAATTATATATAAAGTCACTTGACATTTATTAGGTGCTGACAGCCTATTTGTTTTATATAACAGATTTACATTACTCAGACAAAATGAAAAAGTCTGAGCAGTGTGCCTAGGCAGTAACGGTTCTTGCTTTACCCTCCTTCTAGTCCAACTGTCACATCAAAGCTTTGTTGGTATAGACAATTCTAGATTCTTTTAATTTCCCAGTTGTACGTGTATATGAATTTGAGCCACTCATGATGGGCATCCCACTGGGGGAATCAGAGGTGGAAAAAGATTTGGGAGTCCTAGTGGACATCCGCCTTAGTAACAGCACACAATGCCAGGCTGCAGCAAATAAGGCAAGCAGGGTACTATCATGCATAAAAAAGGGAATCCACTCTAAGGACAAATCCATAATTTGGCCCCTTTACAACACACCAGTTTGGCCACATCTTGAGCATGTGGCTCAGTTTTGATCACCGATCCACAGAAAGGATGTCCTTGAGCTAAAGAGAATCCAGAGAAGGGGCAACAAAGTAAATAAAGCATTTAGAGGACCTAAACCATGAGGAAAGGCTGCATGCATGAAACATGTTCACTCATTAAACACTCACTTGAAAAGAGGAGACTGAGAGGGAACATCATATTTATGTCCAGATTGTTTAATGGTGATGGGATAATCAGTAACAAACTGTTTAAGAGGTCATCATTGGGGATGGTCTCGATGTTCGAGCCAAGCAACAGTTCTACTCGAAGTTCGGCGAACACACAAACTATCAGGGCGTTCTGTGGGCTATTTGCCCGCCAAGTGCCTCACAAGGCCCTGGGCACTGCACAGTGCCTTATGAAGCCCTGATTGGGTAAAGCAATGCACCTGGCAACAGGTCAGCTGCAAGACTTTACCCAATCACAGTACAGTGCACTGTGAGAGCCATGATTGGGCAAAGTAATGATATCTTGTCAGGTGCCGGACAAATGTAAACAGTTGAGCGGAGCTAGCTAGCGGTCACCGCTAGCTCCACCCAATTGTTTATATTTTGCCAGAATCTCAGAATGCCATTCTGTGGCGGGAGTTCGTCGTGAGCAGACAGGACGGCGGGCGGCATTTAAAAAATGTGTTTTGTCGTTGTGGACAATGCTGGACGTCGTGATCGACCTTGGGATTACGCCGGTGGATCCATTTTTTTAACAATAAAGGACTTGTCAAAAGCCTTTGTTGTGTTTTTATTTCAATTAAATGATTGTTTTCTAAAAGTCTGGACTTTTTATTTACATTTATTTTAACCCTTTACTTTATAAACATCACTTTTTGCTACAGCAGGTTGTATACATTGTACAGATGCGCCACTTTACGGGCAGTTTAAGGGGACCCCCCAGACACAAAAAAACGGTATTTTTTAAAAGTGTTTTTTTCATTGATGCATATCCCCAAGGGCAGTACCCGGATCCCCATACCCTTTTTATGGCCAATAAGCCTTCAAAAAGGGAAACTTTGATTTTGAGAGTTCTGGTCCCATAGACTTTCATTGAGTTCGCAGTTCGAGTTCAAACTTTTTCCATGTTCTAAAGTTCGAACTCGAACCGAACTCAGGTGTGTACGGACCATCACTAGTCACCATCTGAAACTGGATGAGAAAAGGTTTAATCTGAAACAGTGAAGGGGATTCTTTTCTGTGAAAGCTGTTAAATTATTGGACTCACTTTTTACAAACAGTGGTTTCAACTGAGAGTATGGAATCATTCAAGAACTGTTTATATGCTTTTCTCAGAGAGCAAGATATACAGATGTACAGGTAATCTTAGTAACTCACTCACAAGAACACAAACATACAAAGCGATATAGGTTGAACTTGATGGACCTGTGTCTTTATTCAACCTTAACAAGTATGTAACTATGAATTCCCTTTGCATACACTGCATGATAAACTGAAACAGCTTATGTTTTACTCCATTTTTTACAACGTATCAGCTGTCAGTCTGTTACACCAAACAACATATACATTGTTGTATGCCAGTTGAGGAGAACCCCTGTGACATAGAATATATTTGCTAAAGTTGTTCATATGCAGGTGGATTCTTTTTTGGGTTATATAGACAGATAAAAAGGTGAAAGTAATGTCTTCTCATGTGACTGTCAGTGAAGGCACCATGAATGTTAATTTCTGTAAAGACATGCTTCTTTCTTGTTGTGGAATTACTACTGGATATGGGTTAAGGTTCTCAGATTTGAATAATTTCTTTAAAACACAGTATTCCCCCACTTTAAATTGTAGGGTCTTGTCTGATTTTGTTATATGTTTAAAGCACATCTGAACCCAAAAGCAAAAATTGTATTTCTTTATCATCCATTGAGGGATACAGGATATCTTAGACTATCAGGTTATACTGCCACCTACAAGACGAATGGACACTGGCAACAAAAAATGTGTTGATCAGCACAGGATAACTCCACCCACAAACTAGTTTCCTCAGGAGAAAGAAAGTGTTTTCTTCAGCTCTGCTGTTCTGCTGGTAGATTTATGCTGTATATATATAAATCTGGACTTTTCTCTAGTAAGCCAACAGCACTGGTAGATTCATGGCAGATATATTAAATCCTGAAAGTTTCTCCAGTTAGCTAAGAAGTGCAGGTTTTCACAGTTTCATAGCGGTGATCCACATGATCACAGGGGTTTGCTTTGCCCACCTAATTTTTCAGTCTGCTAAAAGCTTTTTTATTGCAAGATTCTCCTGTCAATACTTATGGCTTAGGCACCCTGGTTATGACACTGGACTGCAAACTTCTTGTAAGGAAAGGACTGCTAAGTCTTCTCTCTTTCTCTGTTAAAAGATGTCCACGTATCTGCCATAGCTTTCGTTCTCCAGGTAGATGTTCTCATGTGGGCTTCAGGGATGCATACCTGCATGTTCCCATATTTCCAGCACACTTATTTTCCCTACGTTTTTCTGTGGTGCCCCAAAAGTACTGCTTTGTGGTCCTGACTTGGGCCCTCATCTGCACCTTAGGTATTCCCCAAAGTGTTGGCCCTACTATTAGCCCTACAGTGCTCCCCATTGTAGCCAGCACAGGCTTCTCTTAGACAATGTGATTTTAACTGCTCAGAAATTGCTGCAGTTTCAGTGGTCTTGATGGAAGCCTTCGGTGAGACAGTTCCATTTGCCAAGTTTCACTCCAGAACTCTACTTCTCAATGTTCTGTCATCAAAGGAAAGTCAATCAGGTCACTGGACAGACCAATTTGTTTGGCACCAAGGTTGACTCTGGCCTGGTGGTTCAGGAAGCCAGCTCTGGAATTAGGGAATTCCTTCATTCCCATATTCTCAAAGATCCCCATGATGGATGCCAGCTCTTCAGGCTGGGAAGGAGTCCTGAGCACCATGTCAATGCTGGGGAGTCTCATCTTCTGATCAACACCCTGGATCTTCCAGTGATTTGTCTGTTTCTGACCATACTGTTGGAAGGTCATCCAAACTAGATTCAGTCAGACAACGCCACAGTAGTGACCATCGAGGAATGCCACACCAAAGCCACATCAACCATCGAGGAATAATCAAGAGTCTCACAGTGGCATGAAAAAAGTTCAGATCCTGTCCTGAGCAGAAATTCAAGTTCATATTCTTTTCTACCAGTTGGCAGATAGACTTCCTCAGCTACAAGCGTTTAGACCTGGGGGAGTGGTCCCTACACTGGGAGATGTTCCAGGTTCTGTGTTGAAGGTGGGAGACATTAAATGTGTACCTTCTGGCATCCAGGTTTAACAATAAACTGAACAAGCTTGTCTCAAGGTAGAGGGAGGGATCCTCTGGTGGAAGCAGTGAATGCTCCCATGACTCAGTGGGACCTGTATACCCCAAACTTTGTTTTCCATCTACCTGAAATTTCTTTCTCGTCTGCCTCACAGGATTAAGACAGAGGGCATTTTGTTGACCCTCATTGTTCTGGATTGGCCCAGGCAGATGTGGTAAGACCCTTAGCATCCTGTGTCATGGCTGCTGGCTTTAGCAGCATAACTTTTAATTTCTTGGTTTTCGTTTTGAGTCAGTGGCTGCTCTGGATGTGCGTTTCCTTCTGTGCTAAAAGGTAGGAAGGCTACTTCTTATAAGGTTTATTGTTGTAAATGGAATGCATTCTTCACCTGGTGCAAATCTTTTGGCTTCTACTGTAGGAGCTTCTCTATGGAACAAATCTTCTCCTTCCTGCAGCTGTGTCTGGACCAGCATTTGGCTCTCAGCACTTTGGTGGCCAGATTTTCTGCCTATCTTGTTTCAGAGACCGATCCTCAATTTGGATATTTATACCGGGCGTCTGCCATGTAGCTCCCCTTGTGAATCCATGGGATCACATTCCTCTCTCCACTTTGAACCACTAAGTGGTGTTACTTGTAGCCATCACCTCTACTAGGCAAGTGTCTAAACTGGTGACCTTATTCTGCAAAGTACTCCTACTGGTTTTGGATAGGGAGAGGGTGGTGTTGAGGCCCAGGACTTCCATCTTGCCCAGCTATTTTTCTTTTGTCTTTCACCTCAACCAGAACATTGTTCTCCCTTGGAATAGTTGAAGGGGTTTTCCCAAAAAAAAAAAAGGTTTTCCTCAGAGGGAGGAGAGCAGAGGCTCCTGAAGTCAAAGTAGAAATAGTGAACGTTTTCTTGGTGAATCAATTTATTTTGTCAAACAAGGAAACCGACCGTGTACTTAAATTCCTTGTTTGACAAAATAAATGAATTCAATAAGAAAATGTCCACTACTCCTCCTTTGACTTCAGGTGCCTCTGCTCACCTCCCTCTAAAGAAATCCTTTTTTTGGGAAAACCCCTTCAGCTAATCAGACGACATCAGGGACATGAGCACTTCAGCCCCAGACCACCCGAAGTAGTTCCATAAAGGGCATCAAGGACGACTTTCTACATTACCATCTGTGCGGGAACAGATATATTCCCCTCAAGCCTTCTTCTACGTTTGCCTGAGACCCCTTCCAAGGGAGATCACACAACCCAACCAATGTGAGTTTCTATATCTCTTTTAAAAACAAACTGTGAAGCAGATTGATGTTTGTATTCTATTAATACTACACTACGATGGATCTCTCCCGGATCTCTGTTTTCTACCTTTTCCTTCTTCTATTCCCCCTTTTTGGAAGAATTCACCTTCCTACATATTGTTCTCCCATACTTCTGTCTGGTTTCAGTTCATCACAAGCAAATTTCCCTCCATTGTCTGGATGCGGTTCAAGAAGTGAGAGTCTATCTCTCACCCACTGCTTTTCTTCAGTACTAATTCCTTTTGTATTCCAGATGGATGCCTTAGGGTACACCTGCTTCTTGGTTCACTAACTCTAGGTGACTCAGACCATCATCCACACTTATGGTCTTAAAGATCAAATTTTACCTTGTTATATCAGGGCACACTCTACTAGATCTGTGAGTGCGTCTTGCTCTTTTCGACATCATGCAACTTTTCCCAGTTTGCAAGGCTGCTATCTGGTCTTATATTTATATTCTTACGTTTTTCCAGGTGATTATCTAGGCCTCATCTGATGTCTGCTTTGGGTGTTAGGTCATTCATCTGGCTCTTTGAATTGTAGGCAGTCCACAGTTTTCTGTTGTCTTTTTTTAGGCCTATAAACCCTTGTTGCTATGTTGCCCACCCCTCTTTTGGGTTCAATAGATGATAAAGGAAATAGGATTTTTGTACTCACCGTAAAATCCTTTTCTTGGAGTCCCTTGAGGGACACAGGTACCTCCCCTGAGTGTTTATTTAATTCTCCTTGTACTGCTTTAATACAAAACTGAGTCATGGTGTAGGTGGAGTTATACTGTGCAGACCAACAGCTTTTTTGTTGCCAGTATTCTTTTGTTAATGGCAGTATAACATGACAATTTAAAAATTCCTGTGTTCCTCAATAGGCTCCAAGAAAATGATTTTGTGATGAGTACAAAAATCCTATGATATTGCAGCTTACCAACTCTTAGGCCTCATGCACACGGGCCTATGTGTTAAACACAGCAACTCTCCCGATCCACAGGTAATCATTTAATGTATGATTACATGTGGACAGACAGATGTGGCCGCTATCACCCTGTTGTTAACTTGAATGGGCACAGCAGTGCCCATTCAAGTTAACAAGGTTTAAGGTTTAAGGTTTAAGGGAGAGGTGAAATTTCAGGCTCATAACCATTCTGACTTAATAAAGCTGGTAAAATACAAATAGTGCTCTCTAGTACTCTGACTGCCATTGGCTACAAATTTGTTGCTAGAAGCATATTGGTCAAGGCTAGAAACTTTGGTTATTTGCAACATAAGAATGTGTGATTACATGACAGATCTGTTAAAATGACATTTGGGTGAAACATATTGATTCTGCAGTATATGGTACACATCTTATGTGCTACTGAAAACCCCACTGCTAATGTTTCTTTTGTTTCATGTTGGTAATCTGGCTCCTGATGTTTCTTTGCAGTCTACGCTCAGCCAATTATCAGCAAGGCTCAACCAGACCTCCTAAAGAGCCATTTTATTCCCACACTGGAGAAACTGAAGAAGAAAGCAATAAAGATTGTGCAAGAGGAGGAGCAGCTGAAAGCAGACAGCAAGACTGACACTCAGGAAGCAGAGTTGCTCATTCTTGATGAGTTTGCGGTTTTATGTAGAGATCTGTATGCTTTCTATCCTATGCTAATCCGATATGTAGACAACAACAGGTATAATGGAGCAGCTGCTATTGACTACTGTTGCAGATGGCTAGTTCCCCTGACTGGAAGAATAACTGTCACTTTTTTGTTTGTGCAAATTAGGTCGAACTGGCTCAAAAAACCAGATGCTGATTCTGATGATCTGTTCAGAATGGTGGCGGAAGTTTTTATTCTTTGGTGTAAATCACATGTAAGAGACATTTCTGTTTGTTACATATGGATTTAATTGCACATATTTAGTCTCGGACACCTTTCATATAGTGGCTGCAGAATTCTTTTTAAAAAAATTATCCATAGCCTTGTTCATTGTTTTTTATCATAAATTGGTCTCTGATCTGTTCAGAATTTACTAAAAAGTAATCCAGATAAAATAAGAAGTATAAGGTGACAAAGGTTTATCACTTTAAAGATGGGCTGTGCCTGTAGAGAGTCTAATCATGTTTGAAGGATCATAGCAATGATCCCAAATATTGATATCCATTCAGAAAGAGAGCACTGAGCCCACACAACAAGATTCAGGAGCATGCAGATGAGCTTTGATGTTGAAGGTGCTCAAACCTTGAAATCCACTAGATAAGGTAAACTATTTCTGATTAAATATCAGGGTCCAAGATTATTACTACCATCATCCTGTCATAACTGTAAATTCCACAAGCATAGTTTTACTTTACAGCATTGGTGGTCAGCTCTCCTGATATATGGGGCATTAAGTGAGGCCCCTGATGTCACCAAAAGTGTTAAAATAATATTTAGTAAATGTAATGCTACAAAAAGTTGCCAGAAGCTGTAGACATGCAACAGGAGATGATCAGAGAGTAGAGAAATGCTACAAGAGATGGTCATAGACTGCAGACACATTACATGAGACTACTACCGTGTTTCCCCGAAAATAAGGCACTGTCTTATATTTTTTTGGCTCAAAAAAACACACTAGGTCTTATTTGCGGGGTAGGTCTTATTTTTTTTGTACAACAATCCAAAGTTAACGCAAATCCAAATGAAATAATCCGAACTGGCAAAGTTAAGACTATGGTGATCAGGGCAATCAGGGGTGCCGTACCTTTCCAAAAACAATTTGGTAACCAATCGCTAGTTAGAATGAGGGGAGCGCCTTTCACTATCGATTCCTCACAGAGGGAGTGCATTTGGTATTACTCCGCCTGTGACAGGAGCCGGCGCTGTAGAGGAAGCATCAGCTTGTGTGGCTCTGCTCCCTCCGGTCTCGCCTTGCTATCTCTAGAACTGGCTTCGTTGGCACCGCTGATTCACTCCCGCGGCTCTTCAAGTTCCCCCTTATGCCACCACCGGCCCTGGGAATGGTCACAACTAGGTCTTATTTTCGGGGTAGGTCTTATATTTTAGCAATTCCCAAAAATAGTACTAGGTCTTATTTTCGGGGTAGGTCTTATTTTCAGGGAAACAGGGTAGAGATCACTTCTATTAAAGCCCTTTAAATCAATGCTTTCCCTTGTGCTCTCTACAGTCCCCTTAAACTCACGTGTGATATATATGAAAAAAATAAAACAAGCCATTTAACTACTAAAAGCCAGTCTAAAGAACATTTTACTTCACTGGCCTAAGTAAGCATCTAGGTAAGGAAAACCCAGACTACTGTAGGTAAGGGCTCATTGGGCCACACCAAAAGTGTCAATGGGTAGCAGGTTGGGCAGCAGAACTAATATCGATGAGCCTGTGCCACATTCTGCCTCTAATTTAACCCCTTCATAACTGAGCTTGTTTTTAGTTTCTGTTTGTTAATGACTGACATTTTTGCTGTGTGATTCTTCCACGTCAGTATTATACTTTCTCATTAAGTGTACCCACACATATTATATATTGTTTTTTTAGAGGACAGATAGGGCTATATATTTATATCACATACGTGTACCTAACGCCTCACTTAGGATAAATAAAATATTAAAATTGAGGAAAGAACTTAAAGAAAACACCTTTTCCCCAGTTTTGATTTGTAGTATTTTTTTTTTGAAAAATAGCACAGCTTAAAAATGCATTAAATACATTAATTTATTTGTCCTTTATTTGGAAAAACCTCACATCCCTAGGATTTTAGAAATGTTCCTGTACTTCTCAGCCTAAAACTAAAACCTAACATTTTAATATTTTTTCTTTAAAAGCTAAAAGTGGTCACCTTGCATACAATGTCACTGCCACTGTCACACTTAGTGACAGTGACATACTTTGAACATCACTGTCATGAGTGAGTTAAATAAAAACAATTAACTTAGGGTGAAAAATAAATCTGCAGCTCAGCTGCAGATTTTTATTGTAAGGGGTAATTTTTATGTTAATGATAGTATAAAATATATTAAAATACTGTATATCATTTTTATTTTTTACACTTTTTTCACTATTTTTAAAATATGTTTTACATTTTATTTTATTTATTTGATTATATCAAGCAGTCATTGTGAATTAATCTCACTATTACGGCTTAATAATTTAATTAATTAATTAATTGTTGGTTATTATTGAGCTGCTTCAAACTTATGAACAGCCAATAATAACCTTGATGACACTGATCCTGCAGCATTTCAGGATCAGATGTCAATAAAGACTTCTGATCGTTCCCACAACGATCAGAAGCCTGCAACATTGTTTCAGCAAATTTGTAGCTAAATGTTTCTATTGCTGAAACTATAGAAAAAAAGCCGGTATACATTGGGATTTCCCAATCTATACCAGCTGCCAGTGACGGCAAGAGCTGTAAATACCGCTCTACTCTCACTGTCAGACACCCGATTCCTGAAAGGGTTTGGATGTCTGAAAAAGCTTAACCCCTTCACGACCCATGACAGGATAATCCTGTCATGAATTCGGAAGGGGTTAAACAGAAAAGCCGCCGGGACTCATAATGTAATTACAATTATGAACTTGTTCATCATTTTAGAGCTTTACAGTAGAAGTGATTGTGGCGGCTCAGCTGCCGCCAGAATGCTTCTACTTTCCAGTAAATAGCCCCCTGCCGTATTTTCCAGGCTCCACTGCCCCTCCTACGGGCCCGGGACTGGCTTCTCAGGTGTTTTGTATGAATTTACAGAATACTAGTTTTTAATAGTATTAAATTATAATAATCGACAAAACAAAAATCATCATTTGCCCTGTTTACAACTGGAAATTCTTGGCAGTATCATTTCAAATTGAAGTATGTCATCTTATTAAGCTATTTTTTTGTGTTTTTTTTGTTATTGGTTTTGTGTTTGTGTTATATTTGTTGTTATATATTTTTCTTTTATATTGTCTTTTTAAAGAAAAACTTAAATAAAAAATTATCTGATAAAAAAAGAAAATAAGCTAAATCAACTGATAAATCAGTTGATTTTTTGCCATAATCTTTTTTGTTCTGTAATTTAGAATTTTAAAAGAGAAGAACAGAATTTTGTGATTCAGAATGAGATCAATAATTTGGCATTCCTGACCGGAAACAACAAGAGTAAGATGTCTAAAGTAAGTATGCTAAAAAATAAATGTGTGTCATGTGGCCATTCATCCCAATCTACATTAGAAATAACTTTGTTCTGTGAATTTACATTAAGGGGTCTATTCACAAAGCTGCCGAAGGATCTAGCCATAGCTTCGGCCCATCCTTTGGCTAGCTTCGACCCCAGGACCCCTTCGGTTCAGTAGAACCGAAGGGGTGCTGTACGGGCTATTCACTATAGCCCGTACAGCTCCCAAACGTGGCCGAGCGGCTCAGTCAAGCCGAACGCATATGCATCGGCTCGGCTGAGTCGCGCTGAAAGCCGAAGCTGGCTGAGCCTTCTTCTGACAGCTGGGCGGAGCCAGCCGTGATCTTACGGCTGGCTCCGGCCACTTGCGGAGAGATCAGCGTCCCTGGTTACCTGCTAACCAGGGACACTGATCTCCAAACAGCAAACTTTCCCTGGCGCTCCAGGAGTCTCCTGCTCCCGGCCAAGGAGAGAAACACTGCTGTTTCTTTTTTTTCTTTATTCTGACACGGAGCTGTGTCAGAATATAAAAAAAAAACAAAAACGTTTTTGCCCATTGGAATGCATTGCTAGATTCCTATTGGCTATTTCAATTTGCAATAGCCAATAGTAAACTAGCATTGTACCCGCCCTCTGCTG